AGAGATGCAGGCTCTTGAACACAATCATACTTGGAAGCTCGTGCCCCTCCCACCAGGTAAGAAGGTTGTTGGTTGCCGATTGGTGTATGCAGTTAAAGTTGGTCTTGATGGTCAAGTTGATCGACTCAAAGCTCGATTGGTTGCAAAAGAATACACTCAGGTTTATGGTCTTGATTATTGTGACACTTTCTCTCCCGTGGCCAAGATGACTACTATTCGTCTCTTCTTTGTCATAGCAGTCATTCGTCACTAGCCACTTCATCAATTGGATATCAAAAATGTCTTCCTCCATGGTGATCTTGAGGAAGAGGTTTATATGGAGCAACCTCCTGAGTTCGTTGCTTAGGGGGAGTCTGGTATAGTATGCAAATTGTATCGTTCTCTATATGGCCTCAAGCAATCACCACGTGCTTGGTTTGAAAAATTCAGCTCCATTGTTCAAAAATTTGGGCTAAGACGTGAAGGAGACCATTCTGTCTTTTACTGTCATACATCTCTCGGGAAATGTGTTTACCTAATAGTATATGTTGATGATATAGTCATTACAAGAAATGACACTACTAGAATATCTCAACTAGAGGAGTACTTGTGTAGACATTTTCAAACCAAGGATCTTGGAAGCCTCAAATACTTCTTGGGCATTGAAGTAGCTCAGTCAAAAGATGAAATTGTAATCTCTCAAAGGAAGTATACTCTTGATATATTACAAGAAACAAGCATGATTGACTGTAGACCAGTAGACAGTCCTATGGACCCAAATCAGAAGCTAACGACAGAAGAAGGTGAATTATTCTCTGATCCAGAGAGATATAGGTGGCTTGTTGGAAAGCTAATTTATCTTACTATTACGAGGCATGATCTATCTTTTGCAGTTGGAATGGTTAGTCAGTTTATGTAGACTCCATATCTTGGACATTGGAATGTCATCATCCGTATTTCAAGGTACCTCAAGAAGGCTCCTGGACAGGGTTTACTATATGGAGATAAAGGAAATGTCCAAGTTTCCGGGAATTCTGATGTTGATTGGGCAGACTCCCCCTATTGACAGAGGCTCTACTATATGATATTGTATCTTCCTTGGAGGAAATGTTATCTCATGGAAAAGTAAGAAGAAAAATGTAGTAGCCCGATCATCCGCTGAAGCTGAATATCGGGCAATGGTGTCTCTCACTTGTGAACTTATATGGATAAAGCAATTTCTTCAGGAGCTTAATTTCTGTGAAATCTAGACCATGAAGATGTATTGTGACAACCAAGCTGCTCTCCACATTGCATCAAATCCGGTGTTTCATGAGAGGACTAAACACATAGAAATCGATTGCCATTTTGTTCGGGAAAAATTAATGTCCAAGGAAATTTGTACTGAGTTCGTTGGGTCAAATGACCAACTTGCAGATGTGTTAACCAAGTCATTAAGGGAACCTCGAATTGAGTTCATTTGTTCCAAACTTGGTTTATACAATTTATATGCTCTAGCTTGAGGGGGAGCATTAGAATCATTACTTCCTAGTATTATCATTAGACCTAAGTATAGGGTGTTGAGTGGAAGAAACTTCCTACATTTGTATCTAGGTCTGCACCTAGGGTCCTAGTTGCAGTCTCTTACTTAGTCTTCTATGTCTCATTGTATCAGATTTTCCATTATAAATAGAAGAAAGGGAGAAAGGTCCCGTGAGCCCTGAAGATATATTTTTTCTCTATTAATCTTAAGTTCTTAAGGGCATTGTTGGTACCAATGGGCTCTATTCCTTTCCTGTAGCTCCTTTTCCTGTTATGTTCAAGACTCCTCAATTTCATACTACTACCAGTTCTCCTATTCCTACAACTACTACTGTTTCATCTTCCTCTGCTATTTGTAATTTGTGGCATCCTAGGTTAGGCCACCCAAATATAAATGTTTTAAAACTTCTTCTACAACAATGTAATGTTATCACTTCTAATAAAGTTGATTTATGTTCATCTTGTTGTGTTGGCAAGTCTCATAGATTAACTTCTTCTTTATCTGATACAGTTTATAATTCTCCTTTAAAATTAATCTACAGTGATCTTTGGGGTCCTTCACATGTTCTGTCCACTTGTGGTTATTTGTATTATGTGCGTTTTGTTGATGCCTTTTCTCGATTCACTTGGTTGTATGCTATTAGACATGAATTTGACGCTTTCACTGTATTTAAGAATTTTAAAGCTAGGGTTGAACTTCAATTCAATACCAAGATTAAAAGTATTCAAACTGATTGGAGGGGTGAGTTTCAGTTATTTACATATTTTCTTACTACTCATGGCATTCTTCACAGGATTATTTTCTCTCATACTCATCACTAAAATAGTGTTGTTGAACGCAAACATAGACACAACACATCACTGAACTGAGTTTAACTTTATTGCATCACGCTTCTCTCCCCTTAAAGTTTTGGGATTTTGCCTTCCAAACAGCAGTTTATTTAATTAATAGATTACCCACTGCCTCATTACAGTACAGGGTGCCTTACACTGTTTTGTACACCACCCCTCCTGACTACTCCATTATGAAAGTCTTTGGTTGTGCCTGTTTTCCTTTTCTTCGCCCATATAACTGTCATAAACTAGATTTCCGCTCCCAAGAGTATGTGTTTCTTGGTTATTCCCCTTCCCATAAATGTTATATGTGTCTTTCCCTGTCTGGTCGTCTTTACACATCTAAGGATGTCATTTCTAATGATCTTAGATTCCCTGATATGTTTTCTCAACCTCCTATATCTGCACCTAATCCCAATAAGTATTTCACTCTCACACCAAATCTCTCCCCTCCCCTTCCATCTATTTTTTCTCCTCCTTAGCCTGCTCCTGCATCTGTTCCCTCTGTATCTCCTCCTATCTCTAGGCCAATTAATACTCATTCCATGCAAACCAAGTCCAAAACTGGTAAGTCTTCATTGTTACTAACTCATTGAACCTTCAAGTGCCTCACAGGCTCTCAAGAATCAGCATTGGGTTGCTACTATGCAACAAGAGTAGGTTGCACTTCTTCATAATCACACTTTGGATTTGGTTCCTCTCCCTCCTAACCGCAAGACTGTTGGATGCAAATGGGTGTTTCAGATTAAAGAAAATTTTGATGGTTCTGTTAATAAATATAAAGCCCGATTGTTTGCCAAAGGCTTCAATCAAGTTCCAAGATTTGATTTTCATGAAACTTTCTCCCCAGTTATCAAACCCGTTACCATTAGAATCATCCTCACAGTTGCCTTAACTAATAACTGGGATTTATTTCATTTGGATGTTAACAATGCCTTTTTGAATGGGAGTCTTAATGAAAGTATTTATATGGTACAATCTCTTGGATTTGATGTTGCAGATAAAACTCTGGTTTGTCGACTCAATAAAGCCATCTATGGTCTTAAACATGCTCCCCGACAGTGGTTTGCCAAACTTCAAACTACTCTATTGAAGCTTAGCTTTTCTTCTAGCAAAGCAAATTCTCTCTTTATTTATCTATCATCATGATTCTCAATCAATTTACATCTTAGTTTATGTTGATGACATTATAATTGCAGGTTCATCTGCTCCTCTCATTGATCAAATTACTCACAGTTTACATTCTCACTTCTCTCTCAAACAACTGTGTAAACTTGACTATTTTTTGGGCATTGAAATCAATTATCAATCTGACAAGTCCTAGGTGCTAACTCAAAGCAAGTATGTTTGCGATCTTTTGAATAAAACCAAAATGGTTGAAGCTCATCCTATTTCTTCTCCTATGTTTCATCCTATAAACTATCTAAGACTGGATTTGACACTTTTTTTTATCCCACTCTTTATCGATCAGTTGTTGGAGCATTACAGTATGCTACTCTCACTCGTCCAGATATCAGCTATGCTTTGAATAAGGTTTGTCAGTTTATGGCTAATCCACTAGATGCACATTGGACTGTTGTTAAAAGGATTTTACGATATCTTAAAGGAACTATTTCCTATGGTCTTCATGTACAATCTGCTAGTGCTTCTAAGCCCTTTTCTATCATAGCTATGTGTGATGCGGACTAGGCTTCTGATGTTGATGATAGAAAATCCACCTCTGGCTCGACTATTTTTCTGGGCCCTAATCTTATTTCATGGTGGTTTCGTAAGCAGCATGTCATTGCTCGTTCTAGCACTAAAACTGAATACGAAAGTTTGGTTCAAGCTTCTGTTGAACTATTGTGGATTCAAGCACTTTTAAAAGATCCATCTATTTCCTTCTCCACTCCAGTTATGTTGTGTGACAATCAAAGTGTTGTTGTCATTGCTCACAATCCTATTTTTCACTCCAAAACAAAACATACGGATGCTCTCACCAAGCCTCCCTCTCTTACCTGTGCGGGGGGGGTAATAGTTTGATACAAGTGTTGTTACAGTTTTTACTTCAGTTATCTTACAGTTGTTAGGTGATTATGATTGTAACTGTTGGTTAGTTATTAGGCGGTTATGTTTGTAACGGTTGCTTATTTTATTCTTTATATTTTGGGTCTGGTATAATTGATCTTACAAGGTCTTTTAATACAGTTTTGTTTTGCATATTGAAAAGTATTGAATGCACCAGTTCTATTATTTTTGTGTGCTTTTGTTCTCTCCTCAAACTCTAATAATTCATAACAAGTACATATGATTTATATGCACCAACTTGAGGGAGAAATACTTAAATATGAGCCCAGACTCATCTTTTTTTTATCATGATATCAATATATATTTGTTTCTCTATTATGCATAATATAGACAAAGGATTTTATTCATGTCTCTCTACCATTTACTTTAATAGGGACCAATGCATCTAAGGAAAAAATTCATGGCCCACTAGGAGAATGAAAACAAAATAGGTCGCAAAGGATAATACTACTTTGATACCATATTGAAAGAACTGTTTGTAATTGTATTGTGTACACAAGTATTATTTTTTTGTAATTGAGCTACCATTGTTATTAACACTTGATGGATAAGTGACCCTTATAACTCATCCCTCAAAACACACATACATAAAGATTTTACTATGAAAAGTAAATTACCTTGTAACATGCTTCTTTAAGAACAGTATTGAACAGCAGTACATCAGGTTGGATGCCATCCAATATGACTTGTTTCAAAAGATTCATGACTTCATCAAAGTTCTCATCTTGCAGCAAAATCTGAAGTAAAAAAGCTCAGTATCAAGTTGTCATACACATCTCTATAAACAAATTACAAGTAGTGAGTAAGACTGCTGCCATGGAAGCACATATGAAGAAAAGAGCAAATATATTAGCACCCGCACAATGAATGACACATGATACAACCATTAGTTGTTTTCTTTTTTGAACAACAATACAACCATTATTTATAACCTAACTTTCATGATAACCTGATTTCTGTAATTTGGAAATTTTGCAAGTAAATTAGGGTCCTCTCAAGACAAAATAAGAAGTAAAATTAGTTATAGGATCAAGATATATCAAAGCTGGATGATCTAGAACAAACCATGCTTTCCTTAGGTAGTCGCAACATATTATATAATTAATCCCAGTGCCTTGGCCTTTACATATATAAGCAGTGATTTAGTGCATTTTGTATTTTCAAACTCCATCCAGCCTAAGATGTTCTATGTCTGGTGTTATAAGAAAAAGACAAAATGCATCCTGCACTGAGAGCAAAAATAATGTAACTCAGAGAACTGCAGAAAGGCTCCCAAAGCACCATTGAACAAAATGTTATCATGTTTTATTAAGTAAATGCTACTAATTCTGCACGAATTATGTAAAATACATGCAAATTATGTACTGGTAGAAACATTTAAAACCAAATGCATGCATTTGTCAATTGTAACTTGCAGGTTGACTGCTCCAATTGTTGAAGGGGATTAGGAAGTGCATCAAGCTACTATAAAATCCTAAATCTGCGCATTTTACTATATAGTAATAATTGGACCAGACTATCAGAGATTAAACTGAAAAGAACCTTAATGAAAGCAGTATATGTACATATCCCTGGACAAAACCCATTCCGTATCATCATTGAAATCAGCAAACAAGCAGATCTGTAACTTTTTCCGATGGTACAACAGTCAATCATTATATTGTATGTTTCAGAGTCAGGGTTGCAGCCGCATAACTTCATCTTCTTGAAAATTGCAATTGCCATGTCGCTCTGCGCATCAAGTGGAAAACCTCATAATCCAGCCAGGGATGCATAATAACACTTCAAAAAATAGGTGTCAAAATGGAGAAAGTAATGATGTATGAGTCACTCACTTCTTTGGCTTCGACAAGATAATGTAACACTATGTTGTATATACGTGTTCCCAATGAAGGGTTTCTATAAATGAAAAGATTCTCTGCCACATGTAAATACTGAATCAGTTCTCTTATCATCCCTTCTTCTCCAAGGGCTCTCAACTGAAAAGACCGAAGGACATGGTCAATTCATAATCAATGTAACTGAACAAGATACAAATCCTGTCTTATCCTAACCAAAGTGATCTTTTAGATCTCTTAAACTTTATGATTTACTCATAATATCAACATTATGGTTGGATCTCTCACAAGTATGTTGTCACACGGGTGTGTGCACGTGAGGAGGAACTAGAAGCAATTAACAATGACAATAAGTTCAACAACAAAATCATTTTCCAACTAAATGAGGTTATATTCATGGATCGCACCAAAAACACATTTTTAAAAGGTCGTTGCATCAAGATCCTTATGATTTCACTAAAAGATTTTTCCTTAGTTTCCTGCACTTCTGTTTATAAGGCCATCCATAATCATATTAACACTTACTATTTCCATGCTAGATTATTTAATGTAAAATTCTGCCATTTTTTCCTCAACAGGTAGTAATACTAAGTTCAACTTTCTTTCATATCTGGTACTCTAGTATTTGCTGCACATCATTCAGCACTAGGAAGCATGTGGCAGTTAAGTAAAGTTTTTCCTTTGACCTTGAGAGTCTCTGATCACAAATAACACCTAAATCATTTCTTCATCTCATTCAACGTGTGATTTCCAAATTCCTTAATTGCTAAACAGAATAGGTAAAATAGATTGGTATGGTTATGACACACAGGGTCTAACAAATCCACATTCTAGTACAAATCATTTTTATTTTTCACATTAATTGCACCCCAGAACATGTACTGACTACTCAATTGAACCCCTCCCCCATAGATTTGAACAGAAGAAAAACATCAAGGCTTTGCATCATTCTTTAAGTTATGTGTGAAAAAGGAAACATCAATGGAACTTACCAAGTTTTTTATTGAAAGATGACTGTGCCAAATGCCATTTGTGGCCATATCCTTTTCTATAGCATTTATTCTTTTAAAAGCATCCACCTGTGACAGTATATTACTTTCTTCATAAGGGGCATTTACAACACCAAATAAAGAAAATAGAAGCTCGAAAGTCCTGATATCAGGCAAAACTTTTTTCTGCTTCATCTTGGCAAACACTCGCACAGCACGTTCAGGTTGATTCTGCAAATAGATAAATAAAATGTAAGCCATTGCAAGTTCCACCATGCAAGAGAATTTGAGAACCAAATCTTAAAGTAGGAATTGGATACAGGTAGTTCAGTTATAATTTCAGTTGCTCATCTTAATTTGTACTTTGCAACCCATTGATAAAATAAATAAATTAACATCCCATTGCCACAAGTTCAAACCAAGCTGTAACAAAACATATAACAATTTCAGTTATCATAATTTGAGAACCAAATCTTAAAGTAGGAATTCGATACAGGTAGTTCAGTTACAATATCAGTTGCTCACTTAATTGGTGCTTTGCAGCCCCATTGATAAAATAAATAAACATCCCATTGCCACAAGTCCAAACCAAGCTGTAACGAACCATATAATAGAACTTGTTTTATTATTGTTATAGAAATAATTGTATAGGAAGTAAGTAGTTTCCTTATTTCATTTTTATGTAAATTTAATACTTAAAGTACTATTGCACATCACCTTGTATTATACCAGCATATTATTCAAACCTATAAATAGGATACAAAATATTGGACTGAATTATCACATATTTTAGGGTTTTTCTCTGAATGTTCCAATTAGCTACTTTTTGACAAGTCTTATTAAAGATTAAAATTAGATCTTTAGGTACACTAATTTTAGTCTTGTGATCAATAAAATGGTAATGAAAATTCTGTTTTGGAGTTTCATATTTGAGCTCACCAATTCATCACATGATGCTAGCAAAGCATTATAAGGATGTGGATATAGACATTCAGAAATCTGATTCAGCAAAGCCTCAGCTAAATCTAATTGTAGTGCTTTGCTGCATGTGATTGAAAGTGTTGCTAAAGTTGAATCATTTGGCTTCAAATTCTTCTGCTGCATTTTTTTCAACTGCATATTAAATGAAATTAATATAAGGCCAAGAAAAATTCTGTAATCAACTTGATTATCAGCACACACAAGACCATATAACTGTCACACAGATCTCACATTCAGATTCCAATTGGACTAAATCTGAGGGTCTATTTGACCTCATAAGTGGTTGAAATCTCTGGACAACTACCACAGATAGCAGTCTACTCAAAGAATAAATTTAAAAAAAATACTAAAAACAAGTGATTCTGAACATAAAGATTGTCACCGAACTCACCACTCCTAAAGCATCCCCAAAACTTCCATGGGAAATAACTGCTTTAATAATGCCATTATATGTATGGCAGGATGGCTGCAAACCAAGATTTTCCATCTGAACAGAGAAGTGCCCTTCAAGATGTTAAAATACATTAATATAAACGAAGTTGCCAATGAACAAAATTAAAAATTCCCTTAAACTTTCATAAGTACAGGAAATTTATTTATACTAAAAATTGAGAAAGGAAGATGTACAAGAACACAGTAAAATCGATATGCATGTTATTGAGAATTAACTAATAGAAGCTTTCAATAATTGAAATCTTAGGGGGTCTGAAGTCTGAAAAATTAAAAATTGACAATCACTGACTATATAGAGAACCTTTCACCTATGAAGCACAAACTGTTATACAGAACTGACACATGTTTGGCAGGTGTCAGGAGGGTTTCTACATGACCTGTGTTACATGGAGCATTACAGAACATGTACAAGCTTAATCAAATATACCTGTAACATAAGCTGCCTTGCAAGCATATAATTCTTTTGCTTTGCACACCCATGTATTATATCATTAAAGGACCACCTCAACACTTTCATAAGCAGTGAGTGTTCTTCTCCATTGAGTCCATCTAATTCAGTACTCTTACAAGAGTCCAATTTATTTTTGCCCTTCAAGTCCAATGTGGCTAAGCCTATCCCCTTATTTGAAGGAACAGGAATATCCACTCTAGTAGAATACAACTTCCCATAATCTGTTCTAGTAATAGAAATGTTTCCACTGATGGCTAATGACACCATTTGTTGTAGAGTTTTATATGCAGATTGTAAATCTCCTAACCTTGTAAATGACCAAATGAATCTACGCAAAGCAATGATACTCGTGCTATAGTTTTTCACATACTCTTGCCAAATGAGATGGGCTGCAGGCAAATTTTTCTGCAAAACTGCAAGCTGAGAAACAGGGTATGTTAAGTGATAGGTTTCCATTGAAAAACAGAGAACACATTCAAACACAGCAAAACATGTTCAATAAATAGCTAGAGTAATAAATTAAACACATATTGTGCTGTTACTTAATTCAAAACCATTTATGATGTTATCGAAGTTAGCAATTGTTAAGCTCATTTCTAGAAGTTTTAATAGAAACTAGATCAGAATTATTCAGAGAAAAGCTTATCTTAACAGAAAAGTGTACAGTTAATACCAGGACTTTTGGGAGCCTGAACTATCCGACAACAAACTAAGAGCAGTTTGTTTATTCACTATTTTTAAAAACAGTTTCCAGTTTATTAGTTTTTAAAAACTAAAAAACTTGTTTGATAACTATTTTGTTAAAACAGTTTTTAAAAACTGATTTTCATTTTTGTTTTTTAAAACCAAAACTAATTAAAGGTGTATTCTGTTTTTTTCTTTTCTTTAATAGGTATTGTTGAAAGTCCCACATCGCCTACCTCATATCATTTGGTATGGTTTAAATACATGTTAGGCTACTCCACATATTGCCAATTGGTTTTATGTTGGAACCTTAACATGATATCAGAGCCAAAGCCTAACATCTTTCCGGTTATTGTCATGGGTCAAAAGTTGCCCTTTAGTTGGGTCAAAAGTACCCTTTGCCTGGTCCGGCAGACTTCGTTGGAGGGGGTGTGTTGAAAGTCCCACATCGCCTACCTCATATCATTTGGTATGGTTTAAATACATGTTAGGCTACTCCACATATTGCCAATTGGTTTTATGTTGGAACCTTAACAGGTATCAAAGTTTTCAACAATAATCACTCATTTTCATCATCATAAAGTTATCAAAATCATTTGTCATGAGTTTTCATGACTATCTATATCATCATTATCTTTCGTCAAAAATAGTTTTTAAAAATAAAGTTATCAAATAAGTTTTTTTTTTTTTTGCAACTCATTTTAGAAAACATTTATTCCAAATTGATCTTTAAGGCTGTTTTGAAGAACTAAAAAACAAAATTAAATCAAACAAGCCTTAAATCGCCCTCTAAACCACTTTTCTTATTTATAGGCAGCACGCATGTTTCTATAATTATACCAGTCCCTAACTAACTAATTATTCAAGTAACTAGTTATGGGCATTATGAATCATTAGTCAACCCACTAAAAACATGGCTCCATGGGCTTCCAACTGATTGAAGCATGATAATCAATACAACCTCACCCAGCAGCTCATAATAGTTTTGAGCCCACCTGGGTCAAATACAAACATGTGAATATCACACTTGAGCAAACTGCATTAGGCACATGAGAATATCACTCTCGAGCAAACTGCATTAGGGCACATACTTGCAACTGAGGATTATCAAGACCATACACCTTATTGTGCTTTTGTGGCCGGCTGATCATACTACCTAAATCCACAACATCCATTGTTATCATCGGTTCAGTCAGTGGCTCCCTCCTTGAGTCAAACATAGGGTTGAGGAGAGGAGGGAGACAGCGGGGCAGTTAGAGTCCTATTGGGAGCCAGAGAGGGCAGATGAGTTGCAAAAGGACAAAAAAATGTTGGAGGAACGTATCAAAAAACACTAAACAATTTCTAAAAGCTTATAATTAGATTGTAGAAACTTATTTTTTCTGTTTTCAAAAAGTCAGCTAAAAATAGTTGCTAAATTGTTCCGAAAACTGTGACCCTCTTTTATCCTAACAGGTTTTGTTTCCTAATTGAGTTTGAAAATCATAAACTAGAAACTTACATAAAAAAAAAACAAGAAATAATATAATAAAAATTGAAATGTATAACAAGCTTTCAAGATATCTACATTTCCCTCGTCAATGTCAAGAGATGATTGATGTCAATGATAGATGTCAATGATAAATGTCAATGGCAAGAAAGGAAAACTTCATCACCTCGCAAATAAAATCATCATTACTCTTATAAATCAGGAAGGCGTAAGCTTTCCTTAGGTTAGGTCGAATGGTTAATAAGCAAAGTCATGTCAGAATTGGAATAAGAATTGAAATTATCTCTAAGCCTTACATCATCTGTCTGTTCTGTACACAGCAATGAAGTGAAAAAAATAAAGCTGAAACTAAAATTTCACCAAGCAAAACAACATAGTCTTAGTTTAGAATATAAACCAGCCAAGAACAGGTGAACGTGCAAACTAGCACATTTTGTAACTAATACTACGAAGAACATCCCTTTTATTCCATATTAAGTGATTCAAATTGAATCAAATATCAACACATAAATGCTTCCAAACTTAATAATCTGTCAAATAAAACAACTTCAATAGGTAAACACAATGTTTTTATCAAAGAGTTAATTTGTTTCCTAGTCAAAACAATAATAGAATGATGTTTCCACACCTTGAGAAGCTCGGTGTACGTAACTTCACTCTTCCCTACCATTTTCTTTTCCATCAAGTCCAAACATTTGTTTGCTTGAATTAGACTCTGCATTTTTGTGCAGGATCCTAAGATCCTATTGTACAGTGGGAGAACTGGATAGACACATTGGCTTTCTCCAAGAAAATTCACAATATCAAAGGCCTGAATAAAATTCAACAGGTAGACATGAGAAGAATATAAAACTCTTGCAGCTAAGATGAAGCTGATTTACTAATAACTGCCCCATATACACTTCTTGACATGCAATTCAATTTCATTATAAAGGTATCCATATATGGAATTGTATTTTCTGAAAGGAAGAAAAACTTATTTTTTCTAAAACAATTCCTGAAAATGTAATGGGTTAATGCAAAGTCAATATAGCCTGAACCCATCCCCTTTCCCCACTACAAAACCCAAGCAGGAAAGGAATGTAAAGGAAAATTTTACTCAATCATATTTTATGTTAAAAACTAATAGTTTACCTCTTCCAAGTAACCCCCTTTACAAAGGGCCTCCATCATAAGAGATGAACATCTATTGTTCATGCTTATACCTTTTAATTCCATGAATCTCCAAATCTCGATCACAAACTGTAACAAATCCAAAAGGGAAGGAATAAGCTTAAAATTCACAAAATGTTCTACCATAAGTTCATAACTCATGGTCCGAGACTTTCAAAGAAAGTGTGCATAGTCATGCAAAAAGAAAAATTGAGATAATATCCTATGCTTCCAACTCAGACACAGGGGAACATATATTTGTTATTAGCTAATTGTCGCTGAAAAGTGTAAATTCCATTAGTTGTTAAATAGAGTTGTCCAGGTTATTTATATTTAATGGGAGTAGTGCAGTTATAAGCTAATACATTGATAAGAATCAGCATTGGATCAATTTGCTATATTATATATATATGTACATACTATACTAAAACTCAATTTTAACATGTTGATTTTGCAAACAAAGAAAATAAAAAGGAGGGGCGGGGTTGATTGAAAAATGAAATTCGAAAGATATGAGGAATTCAAAAATAAAGAATTAGTTACTAGGAAAAAGCATACCAATGGATCAGGAGAGCGTGCACAATACTTAAAAATATGAAGAAAATCGTCGGCTGTTAATGAGAGGGTTCTGGAATCAAAACCCAAAAGTAAGTCTGAAGCCTTCTTTCTCTCACCCGAGCAGAGTGCCCTGACAACTTGCATCTGCATAGATGGTTCTGCTGCAAATTCCATAAAGTGAGGACCTGCATTTTGTTATACACTACGATCCCGCGTGTTAGGCCGATGAAAAATTATCGATTGACAAATTCTTCGATTTAAAAGTGCAAGATTTATGAAAAATTATTAAACAGAAAGTGATTGAGCTGTAATTGAATTATTAGGTGAGCAGAAAAGTGTAGAGTCTGTATCTTAACTGAATGAAGAGACATATGAAATGGAGAATACATACCAGTTGTGGAGGTGAGAGTTTGAGAGAAGTGGGTTTGAGCTCCCTACAATAGAATAAGCGGAAAGGAAAGAAGCGTTTGGTTAGGTCAGGATAGGGAAGAGAAAAAGTGAAAAAAGAGGGAAACGACATACATGGTGTTGATGCCACTTAGATTTACAAAGTGAAATTGAGTGCAGAAAAACCCTTGCTCTGAATCTATGCATATGCATGTTTTTGCTTTCGCTTTAGCTTTCACTTTCACTTGTTAAGTGGAAGAGCAAGGGAAAATTCCACAACTTAATTTCCCACTGTGTTTTTGGGTTGCTATGTTTCGTCTCCACTCATCCACTTCCTTCCTTTTGGGCCTGGGCCTTTAGACTGCTCGTCCTACATTTTATTTCACGGTTGCTTCTTTCTGCACCCCAAAATATAAGAAAAATGTAAAAAATGTTCTTCAAATAAGTTTCTCTATTATTTTCACTTCAACGTTAGAGAATTTTTTTGTGATTTATGCAAATCATATAACATGTTGTGTTGTTCATCCAAAATTCTCTTAAAAAGATACATTTGATTTTTCATTTGTGGTTATCTAAATTGTTATATCCAAAATATATTTTTAGAAAACACAATTCATAAATGAGTTTTGGAGAAGATAATTCAAGCAAGACTCATTTTAGGATCGTATCTTCTGATATTTTATTGATATTTTATTCTGAATTAATCTATTGGGAATTTATTTTCAAATTGTATTTCTCAATATATTTTGGATTTAACAATTTGGAACTCATTTAATTTTTTGAAAATGTATTTTAAATTTAACATTTTTAATGATTTTCAGATTATGTGTTTTTAAATGTATTTCAAATACAATCTATAACTCATTTTCAAATTCAATAATGTGTAACTCATTTTTAGATTTTGTTTTCCTTTTTCAAACAAACTTTAGATTGATCTTTCTAAAAGTTGTTCAGGAGAAACAATTTTATTTCCTATCTTAATTGTTTTTCCCTAATTTACTATTTAATACAAAGATTTTTATACACCACTTAGCGTGTCTTAAAAAGTAAGTAAACAAACATTTTATTTTTTGAAATGCTTAAATCCTATTAAAGATGTCTCCAGTTTAAAAATTTGCATTACACAAAAATGATTATATTAAGTATTCATAAAACCATATTTTCTATTCTGTCTTTAAAATATTTAATAATAAAGTTTTCTGAACTCATATATATATTAATGATTGAGTTAGTTTAATTTTTTTTATTCATTAAAACATTTATAAGGTATTAACACATTTATACTATGAAAATAAATGAAACACGTGTAAGCAAAATTTCATGTTTATAATACAATTTGGTGAACAATAATCCACTGTCTGCACAATATGGGACTTAATTTTGTTTTGAGAAATAATATGATATATAGGAAAAGTTTTTTGTGCTACTATTTTATTATTCATTTCACCGGAATTAGAATATACTAATCGGATTAGATTCCTGATTATCTATTTTAAGTTGATAATATAATTAAAAAAAAAAATACAACGTGATAGTAACGCACATGTTTGAATTGGGATTTTTTTTTATTTGCATAAAAACATTCACTCTTTTTTTTAATCTTTGTGCTCTCTCTTATTTAACATATCGTCAAGAAATAATACAATAGACTTTGTTTATATTAATTCATTATGAGAATAAATGTCATAAGTTATAAAAAAATAAATCAAATATTTCAGTGTACATATCTGCGTTGACCATTCCAATATCAAATTTATCAAATTTTCCAATATTACCTTCAGTGCTACAACAAATCGAAGTTTCTTCCCTATATTTAAAAAATGGCGAAAAAGAGAACCTTTTATAATTTTAAGTTTCTTTTAAACGAACTTAAATGATTAAATAAAAATAAAAAATCAACAGTTGAATTATGAAACTTGATTTCTCATGATACATGACTTAATAATACAAATAATTTAGTGAATAAGCAAACCATAATGTACATGATGGAAGAGAATTGAACGTATTTTGTGAAAGTATAGTGGTGTGGTGGTATTGGCATATACGTAAAGGTACCACGAGCTTTTCAGAGGAAGTAGCCATAGAGTTCCAAGTAACAAATGCAGAGATTCCAGGGATTGGTGGCATCGGTGGTGGGTCCAGTGAGAACAACCCGGAAATACCTGAAGGGAAGCAGAGCGTTGGGGCCAATTATGGGCCAAGAGGCAAACTGACCAGGTTTGCATACACTCCGGTCATTTTCATGGACCCGCAACTTCGTCCAGCTCTTCCCCTCCTGTGAGCCCTGATATTGTTACTCACGATAACTAGTTAATTTTTCCCTGTAACCTATAACAATATGAAGACAGAAATCGTCCACAGTGCAGGGACTGTTTACCTCAATATTCCAACATCTGGGGAAGGCCTTGGAACCGTCTTGTCTTAGGGTATAGTAGTTGCACATAAGCTGCATCCACCGATTTTTTAGTCAGAATGTGCATTCCATATAATATAAATAGCGATCTATTGATATTGAGGTGTACATCAGTTGATAAACGAGGTTGGATAGTGGCATGACAGTGAACTATTAAAGCATCCACTTTCTCAAAGTGCATGACCGAATGCGAGTATTGTTATAAAATACTTGAAAAATACATAATGCATACCTGATGATCTTGGCTAAGATCAACCATCCACCAGGTACAATTCTGTCCACTTTCCAAACGGGGCCCAGCAAAGCATGTTCCCTGTTATGGTCACATGATGTTGGATACCATACAAGAAAATAAGAGTTCAATAGTCAATTGTGGTTAAATTGTTTAGCATACCTGGTAGGTTCTCGAGACCAAAACCTTGGGATCCGTGTATCTTGAGTGGGGGCTGCTGGCTGTTATGGTAATTTTCCTTGGCTGCCACACAAAATTTTTAGTGAAGGGAATGCATAAACAGTTCATTGATAAGCTCTTAGCACAACTCCTAAAGAGAAGACTTCATTACTCATTTAGTTCCTATACCTATATAATCTTTTGGTCTTAGTCCTTGTACCTAAAAGCTAATCCTTTTTTAATTCCTACACATACACTTTTTTAACATGTGTTATCTATGTACGTATGTCTTTTAATCTGTTTTAGTCCCTACAATTTTGGACAAGAGGACTTCAAATATACTAAAAAGTGTATTCATTGTAGGACAAAAAAAGTAGTTTTTAGGTTTTAAAACTAAAACATAAAGAGTGTATAGATACAGAGACTAATAAAACCAAACAAAAATCAAGGGGGAAAAGATAAATTAGAATTCGACCTCAGCCAAAAGAGGATTAACCCAAGGGTGTTCACCATAGGATGTGCCAGCAAAGTATAGAACTCCATGGTCATCCCCATCGCAAATATACTGGAGTTCCTTGTAACTGGACCGTCTATGTTGGAATCGAACACTAAAATGACAGGTAGTGTAAATCAACTATTGTTAGACGTGATCTTTTCTAGGGAAAGATAAAGCTGAGAATAATTCAAAACGTAAACAGAAAAGTGACTAGTGAGAACTGAAAAGCTCAAAAACTTACAGGGCAAGCCAATAACTCCAAATATTCCTAAATTGTCATCCAAGCAATCCCATTTTCTGATTAGAGCGCCAAATTAATTTAGAAATACTTAAGAAAACCATTAGTGGCCAAGAAACTAATGAGTTCCTTATAATATTATCCTCGAACCATATACTTATATGATACATTTATATCCAGTTTTCCACAGCTCACTCTTCTAATATTACTTTCCCATATCCATTATTATCCCACCCCAAACACCACAGGCATGCACCCTATAACGGCTATCTGGAGAAAGAAAACAAGAAAGAAGAGGAAGGATAGAGTATGGAGCTTGAGAGAGAGAGAGTATCATCCTATAGATTATGTGATCAAAATTCCTGTATGGACTTAAATCAAATAGACCAATAAGTTTGTTGAACAAAAATGAGAATAACCCAGAACTAATGAATCAGAATTCATAATACAATATTTAAATGAGTGCAGATTATTTCCACAACCAAATGAGCTATAGTTATTTTCTAGAAAGGCTACAATCTAGATACTGAAAGATTACACAATCAAAGTGTACAGGATTACTTAAAAGCCACAGTGAGGAAGATGAGGAGGCAAACTAAGGTGAAGAACTTACTTCTCTTCATTTTCTAGCCCTGCTAGCCCATATTTAACAAAATTGATTGCCTCATTAACCTGTAACAAATAAAATAACAGAAAAGTTATTCATAATAAGATTTACACACAACACATTACAAGTACTGCCTGAATTGATTGGAAAAAGACAGCAAACTTACAAGATTTTGGAAAACGGAGATACGCTGGCCAATGTTGCTATTCTGCAACTGCACATTAATTGCAACATTATGACATTAGACTTAGAATAAGCAAATACTATTTATGTAAACTGTTCATAGATGTCTCAATGCATGGATTACCAACCTTCTCAAGTAAGGAATATTGTAGTAGTGAAAATCGCACAAACGGCAACAAGCCATATACTAACTGAAGTCTGTCACCAAAAAGGAGTTCAGGTTTTGAATTTACAAGAAACTGATCCACCACTTCCCACCCAAACAACTCTTTACAATTCATGCCAAACATAAGGATTGCATTAAGGACTTTTTCTTCAGATGTTACTGTCAGATCCGGATGCTGCAAAATCCAAAAATAGATCAAGAAATTTTCAGTCAAATCACCTAATATTACAAGACCCACGGACAATTTTGCTGATGTATAGTAGACTAAATCTTATCTAATATTCAGGGGATTTGAAGAGAAATTTATTGTTTCAAATGATAGAAATTATATCTACAATTCTCAGATAAAACAGCTTAGGTATCCTCAAAATTTCATGTGCAGGAATTCAACAAAATCATGTTTTTAACTTCAATGGCATATATACATAAGCAGATATTCAATCCTTTATTCTTTATGCCACGCTACTGACAAAACTTTTCCACTTGACACTAATCTAATGAAGATGCAAGCGATATTTAGAAGATATTTCATTTTGTACAGTTATATTCCTTGAATTTACCACAAATGAGCAACTTGACAAGAAACACACCTTAATGATATTGATAAAAGTTGTCTCATCTAATACAACAAAGTCAGTACTCGCACTGATATAATAGTCAAAGTTCATGGAAATTCTCCTCTGTAATGATTCTTTAATAAGTCCGCATGATGGGATTGAAGAAAGCACTTGAAGAAGTGGACATACAGAGTCCTGCAACAAAGTTCAACGGTTAGCTTCAAAGGCCACGGTATAATTAGTTGCCAAATTTGTCTGCTTCCTGCATTCAATTTGTGGGTAATAGAAAAACTTTGTTGTATGACCTTCACCCAATAGAAGAACTTCATCCCTGCATATAATATGTTGACGAGAAGTATCAATATCTTAGAATTGATTACTATAAAATGTATCTCTTCTTTTGGTTATCACAACTCCCAAACCGCGACTCTCTTCTCCAAACAGTTAGTTTCAAGTGGCATCCACAGGATAAATGATTCTAACTTCCAAATAAGTACTGATTTCCGTTGAGTGAAGATTTCCAAACTACCTCTGAGAGAGATTCTAAAAGCATTTTGCAGCATTCTTGTTGCAGAAAAGTCACTCCAAATTGATCAGCTAATAAAAGGAGTTGGAGCAACAAAGCACCAGAATCTATAACTTTGTCATGCAATTGTCCATCATATAAACAATCAAGCATAGCCTTGAAAGCTTCTGGTGGCACATCTCTTAAAGTAACCTCCGAGGACATGCTTTCACTCATTCCATTTGTGAACATCTGATAAGGTAATAAGATCTTTAACTAATAGCTCCATTGACAGTAGGAAAAAATACATAACCACCACGTAAAACATAGCTTACCAAAATCATTTGATATTGCTTGCATAAAGAGAAATTTATGCACAAAGATAAGACAAATACTTGTTTCTGGACAATATTCTAAATTGCATTGCAAAGACAGAAGTAGAACACACTGAACATTGAAGATATTGCAACAGTATTGAGGGTACTAATAACCTCACAAAATTAATAACAAGGCACGGGCACGTTGAATAACTTGATTCAATGCCAAACATGAAAAATAGGTTTTTATTAACCAGATTGAACTTGTTAGTCATTCCTTGGACCTCAGAAGGTCAAGTTGTTACCAACATATCCTTCCATTGTCAGAAATATAATTTAGTAGACTTGGAAACTCTCTTTCAAGGTTTTTGCTGAATATATAGTTTTTCAATTACAAACACAACTCTCATATAATTAAGTTTAACTAAATTCCTCCATAAAAGTAGAAACTTAATCCCTAAGCAAATGAATCCTACTTCTAAGAATCCCCAGCGGGAGGAGATGGCATCTCACATTAAATCTGACAAAAGATTGTGAAATTGGCTCACCCGAGCAAAGGGGATACTCCATAAGCTGAGAATAATTTTATGTGCTCGTGCCACGAGCCCATAACTCTCAATGTAGATGCTTACATCACTGAACTGGCCAGCTAATTTCAATTGTCTCAGTTGCTGAATGCTGAGAGGAAGTGAGGGCAAAGTTGAACAATGAGGTCGGATAGATGGATATGTTAACTCCACATTCTTGCCCATGTCAAACAACTTCTTATCTAGCTTCAACCGTTCCATAGTCTCTTCACACTGCTTCACCAGTGGCATCACTTCAAACTGTATACTTAAAGCCCTCAAAGAACCAAGTTGTTCTTGTGGAATCTACATGATAAAAAGACACCACTATCTTCAGAATATAAATATCAACATCAATTTAGCGAGTACAACATATAAAAAAAAAGTTCAAATCACCCAAGAAAGAAGTAAGAAAATCACTTTGACAAAGTCACAAACTTACTATGATATGTGAATCTCATATAAACAACAAAATGAACAGAGAACATGATGTGAACATGACCTATGATAAGGGCTAGAGCAAGGGAAACAAAGGAAGCTCTTCAACAAGTATTGTTGGTTGACCAAATTGTGTTTTGGATTAATCAATTAATGGGCTTTAGTTTGATTTTGTTTTAAGTTGTAATAAGGGCCCAATTGAAAATTTAGTCATCAGCCTTTGGGAGACCAAGGGGTGCATAGCTGATTGACTTTTGGTTGCCACAGTTTCAGATACAATCAGTCATTAAGTAGTTTCAATTCCTAAGTTAATGGATCATTATTATCCTTTATTTGTTTCCATTAAATAGTTTTTAATTCCTAGATTAATGGGTTATTATTAGTATTTATTTTCTTTTATTGAGTCTTTTGTAATTCTGATGGCAACGCTTCTATATCAGCTGAACCATTCTTATCAAGAAATAACAAGTGATATTTTATTCAGAAATATTAGAGTTTATCTCTTTTATCTTAGTGAGAGTGATTCTCCTAAATTCTTGAGTGATTCAAGAACCCTTGGCTGTATCAAAGGACTGTCACATCCTTTGTGTGTTGCCTCCCTTGGGAAGAGTGATTCTTTCCTTCCACCTTCTTTCTAATTCCTAAATTTCTTACAAGGTTCTAACCCTAAAGATCCTAAATCACCCCTTGTGATTCATATCAGAACAAGAAAAAATAAACATGAATGTACACAGAAAACGGATGAGCTCAATTTCCACGTTTAACATCAACAATAGCAAATACAAAAATAATAAGGTGTGAACCTCTACCTCGGTCCAACCAACGTAGATGTAGTGAAGCAGTGCATGGAAAAGCGGATAAGGTACTGCGGGAATGTTGATGACAAAGGAGGAGGAGCACAGAGAAAAGTTTCCAGATGCAGCTAAAATTGCCTTGTGAGCAGGAACGGGCTTCTCCTCTTCACCAACTATGAATAACACATCAGACAAGTCCCAACTCTCAAGAAAAGTTTTTAGCCCCCATTTGTCATCATAATCCATGTGTCTGTAACTGTAACAGTCCGCTGCATCAAGCTCATCCTCCACTTGATAATCACCAAAAACAACATGCTTCGAAAGGGGCATATGAGTGTGTGTTAAGGACAAAACATTAACATTTCTATACTTAACATGTTTGTCCCAGCTGCTCAGGCCAATATACTGAACATTACAATTGGGACAAGAATCCAACCACTGGAAAACAACATCCTGAAAAGGGTATTTCCCATTGCCTATGCTAATCAAGCCATCGTAAATGCTGATCCAATAACTCTGAAAGGAGGAGGAGCAGCAAAGGCCAACCCCTGCGACGTCAACAACAGCTTTTCCATTGACCTCAATTCTGAGTCGGCGATTCCTGTGACTCCCCAATATGATTGTGTAGTGAGGACTGCTATCTCTTTTATAATGGTATCCCTGGCTTCCAACATTCTCCCGGAAAACCAGTGTAACATCATTGCAGGCGAATGCTTCAAAGGCCACACAACCCCGACCTGCTTCCCGGAATTTCAAATCCTCTCTCCAGGCGCACTCAAATGGCGGCACGGTCAGAAACTTGGCCGACATGTTTATTCTTGGGCACACTACACTAGCAATGAATATGCAATATTTTATGTTTAATAGTAGGGGATGGAGGGTAATGTAACGTTGGAGTAAGAAAAGGAATGAAAATAGTTAACTTTAATTTATAACAGACGGAGATTTGTGAAACAAACATCACTATCTGAATAGAAGATAAATTGCCAGAAACAGGCTGCTAGAAGCTTTCAGATTTGACCCCAGACAAATAATAAAGGCAGAAGAAGCAAATAAAATAGAAATAGCAAGAGTTGTTGGGTGGGTGGATGGATCTCATTCTCAATCCTACGCCACATCCTTATCCGACCAAATACAAACTAGAAGCATGAAATATCTATGCTGACTAAGATCCTCGTAAGGAAAATGAACAAAAATGATTTCGGAAACATAACTGATTGTCGTATTGTGCGTATCTTTGCCTGATTGGACATGAGTAGGGTCATCCTCGTCAGCTAATAGCTCGCTCTCAGCCTCGCCATTCATATTTCACATCAAATCTTTAATCATTAATTTGTTAAAACAAAATTACCTTCCTTAGCGCTCAATCGGCATGGAATTTTGTTACGGTGGCACCGGTCGCGCAATCACCCTGCCTCTGGCTGTGGATGTGTCAGTGCATTGTGGATCATTTCTTAACCTCACACCCACTTCCCGAACCTATCGTGTTACCGTCTTCAGCGAATCTGCGCTCGTCAGATCTCAATCATCTCCTTCCTTTCATAAATCAATTGTTAACACATTTTCATTACTGTTATTACATCGAAACACATTTATTAAAAATTACAGGGTTTACATTCTCCTTTATTGTAAATTTACTTATATTATTACCAGCTTTGGCAATCAGAATCAGAAATCCGAAATCAATACAACTCCCAACACAAACGTGTTAGTCTCCACTATTTTAAATGTCTATTTTAAATATTTAATATTTTTTAAAATAAAACTGACATAGCATCCTATCTATCACACATTTGTTCAACATTATAAAATTTTTAAAACATTAAATGTCAGATTAAGAATGAAGAGACTAAATTTACAAAAAGAAATATATAGGTCCACTTCAATGGTTCTTGAAAGTTATAAGAGGGAAAAATGAGCCTTAAGAAAAATCATGGAACACTTTGCTAAGGTAAGTCTCATCATCCAAAACCTTTCATATGACATAGCAATACATGCTATGTTTGCAAGTTCAAGAAGAGACTCCTTCTTGGATAATCTCTACATGAATTACCATTAAAGTATGGATGACCTTAAAAATCAAACATCAAAGTTCATAAACCTAGAGGAGAACACCAAGCTCTAAAACAGCCAAACAACATATTATCATTGACCACCATAAATATAACTTGAAGAAGAGGCTAAAAAGAGAAGAATAAAGAGAAAAATACACCCCACTAAATGCTAATATAGAGATAATGCTCGAGGAGACATGCGACATGGAATCAGTTAAACTCCTAAAGATGTGGACTACACCAAGAAACATTGATAAGAGTAAACATTATATTTGACATTTGAATATGACTATATAATCATGTAGTGCTAGAAAGTTTGAGAAGTTTCTAAGGAAGTGATCCAAGCAAGTTCATTGGATCATTCCGTAAGAGGAGTTAATAAAGAGCAAGAAAGAAGTGGATTTTGTAGCAAAGAACATAAACGATATGGTCAATAATGTTGAAAACATGGTAATCCACAGACAAAAACCATGTCACGATCCCTCAACATAAAATAGAGGTATGAAGTGTGATAAATATTATTACTAGTGATTTTGCATGTAGAGGAAACACAAATTCATTTAAAAAAGGCACTTGAGAGTGATTAACATCAACCTAGCACAATCTTATTCAAATGACATTTCCTCATTACCTTTATAGATGGAAACTTCAACATGCATGATAAGGGGAAAAAGACATTGATAAACTAAGGAAGCTTGACATATGTGTTATATTGGTCAACATTCTTAAAATTAGACATATCACATGGTCGCATCAAAATGTATCAAAACCCATTATTGGTTTTGTTAAGAGCACCTCCACACGGGACACGTACATTGACCTCCTCACAACCCATAGTGTTTTAAGAGAAAGCAAGAGCATCATGGTCCATTACATTCTAGTAGAAGTAGACACCTGATAATGAATGCATCAATAGAGAGAAAGATAATGAATAAGAGTATACAATTAAAAGAAGAATAATAAGGAGCTAACAAATCAAAATACTTTTGTTGTAAAAAAAAGTATTTATTTTGTATTACTTGGTAATTAGGATTTATTCATTTTTCTTCAATTGTATTTTAGGTTTAATTGTGTAATCAAAACATATTTTAGGCCTTCATTTGGGCCCAACAAGAGGGATACATTCTTGGACAAGAGTAAGGCTAAGGAAGAGCATGGTGGAGGACCATATCTTAGACAACACATTGAGCCCATGACAATGTCCATGGCTAGGAAGATAAAAAAAAAATAAGACTCTCCTACATTGGAGTGTAGATTACTAGAATTTTTCTTATTTTTTTTTTTTAGTCTTGTACAAATTATATAGGTGTGTATTTTTCTTGTATTTTTGTAGAGGCACATTTGGACTAGTTTTGGACCTTGATTAGGCCTCAAATTAGATTTTGTTTGGTATTGATTATAAAAAGACTTTTTTACTAGTTTCACAAAAGGATTTCTTTTAGGATTATCATGATATTTGTATCCCATTATTATGACTTGGAGCTATATTAGATGGATGCAAAAATTGTCTTTCTCAATAGAAAATCAAAGGATAATGTTTATATGAACCAATCAATGGGTTTTTAGTTGAAGGAAATGAACATATGGCCTGCAAATTAAAGAAATAAATATAGGAACTTAAGCAAGTTTCTCGCTAATGATATTTAAAGTTAAATGATACCATTGTTTCCTTTTGGTTTAAAGAAAACATGGTTGATCAGTGCACATATCCAAAGGTCGAGTGGGAGTAAGATTATATTTTTTATTATATATGTTGATAATATCTTACTTGCAACTAATGATCTTAGTCTTCTTTATGAGACAAAGAAATTTTTCTCTAGTAACTTTGAAATGAAAAATATGGGTGGGACAAGTTATATGATAGGAATATAAATATTACGAAATAGATAAGAAGGAATGTCATAATTATCCCACAAATATATATTAATAAAGTATTATAAAAGTCTAAGATGGAAAAATGCTCAACATCACTCATTCCTATTTTGAAAGGAGACAAGTTTAGTCATGCTTAATGTTCTAAGAATGATTTGGAATAAAAATAAATAGAAGCAATTCCATATGCATCTATTTTTAGGTGTATTTCGTATGCTCAAATTTGTACTTGACTAGATATAAACTTTACAGTTGAAATGTTAGAAAGATATCAAAGTAATTTAGGAATGAAACATTGAAAAGGTACAAAGAAAGTTTTGAGATACTTAAAGGGAACAAAAAATCGCATGCTTACATATAGGAGATCTAATATCTTGATGTGATTAGATGTTTAGACTCTGATTTCGTTAGATGTGTGTTGGATCAACTGAAGATTATGTTACTGAAGCTTTGAAGCCTTGCTTGATTTGATGAATCAAACTTCCTTCAAGATTGAAAAAATAAGCTTAGAGTGTGTGTGGCGTGTTAGTTTAAGTCTAATGTAAGTTTCTCCTTGATGGTTTAATCTTGGTCTTACCATTAAAAAGCCTCTCAAAAATGAGTTTTGAAGTTATCTTGATAATAATAAGTTTTCAATATGTTAAAAGATACCTTTAATTTATTAAAATGTTCTTATGTCACATTTTAATTGATTAAAAAATCGTTTTAATCAATTAAACTATTTTAATATGTTAAAATGCAAAAGCTATTAACTTAAAACTATATAACTCTCATTTCTAAACCTTTTATTATATGATTTGAATGTAGTTCTAATACATCTTTTCAATTGATGATAGAGTATTGCTATCAAGCTGAAATTTTTTTCTTGGAGATTTTCTTGGGTGAATCTCAAGATCATTCTTTAGAGTAAAGGAGAAACATAGAACTTCATTTGATTTTTTGTATTCTGTTGCATTTGTTATTCTTTCAAGCGAAAGTGTTTCATCATTTTCTCTTTGGTTTCATGTTATGTCTTTTTTTCTGAATAAGGTTTCTAGAGTTTGTGTTGTGGCAGGGTGTCACCCATTTTGAAATCACTTCTTGAGGATATTTGTATTTTTACTAGTTTGTAAAATCATAATTAGTTGGTGTAGTTAAAAACTTGATGTACGTCTTATTCAAGAGTGAACTAGTATAAATTTTGTGTGTATCCTTCCTTTTTCTTTTCTCTTTATTATAAATTTTGCAATCTTGATTTGGTCATACAAAAATCTATGAGCACTGTGTGTAGGTTACTAAATTCTATTATTAATTGATTGGATAAATATTTTGAGTATATTTTTGAAAAATCTTCGATAGTTCAATTCACTCCCTCTTAAACTCATTTTTTTAATTCTAATAGTGTGGATACAAGGAAATTCACTCTTAGGTTGTGTGTTTCTTTTAGTGGGAGGAGTAAGATCATAGAAAAGTGCAAAACAATTTATTGTAATTGCATCTACAATAAAAGCTTAATTTGTAGCATGTTTTGAGGTTACAATTTACACTAATTGGTAATGAAACTTTATTTCAAAACTTGAAATAGTCGACAATATTACCAAATTGTTAAATATATATATATATATATATATATATATTTTTTTTTTGTGACAAATTTGTAATAGTGTTTTTATCTAAAAATAACAAATACTCTAAAGGTGTTAAACATGTGGAGTTAAGATATTTTTTTCTTCTATAACACACTCTTAAATTAATAATATAGATATAACATGATCCAAAAAATAATTATTGAACTAGCACGCTTTGTTACACAGTTGGAATTCGACTCACAGGAGACCAAATTCTGACCTTAATAATTAATATAATTAAAATAATATTTATTAGATATAAATATATATTTATATA